CAGAGTAGTTTACAATTAAAAGAAAACATAAAAAATCCATAAATGAATTATAATTTTAAAAAGCTGTAATTTATTCGAGAAGGTAGATCCTAAATCTTGCACAGAGGAAAAAATTTTTTCCTATTAAAGAGAATTTTATAATTCATAATTTCATGAAATGTCAAACGTACATTTCATTTAAATAAACAAATTACCTTACATTATTTTTAAACTATATGCAACAAAACTGTGATTAACTTATTTCAAAATTATAATCACAAAAATTTTGTTGTTAATTTTGTCACTTCACCACATTAGTTCAAGGTACTTCAAATGATCTCAATTTAGACTGGTACTTTTAATTTTCACTTTTTTAATACATATACTTGAGTTGTCCAACAGAATAGACACTAGCCAAGATGCAAACTGTTAACAGCTTGGCCCACAAGTGGTGTAATGTTTATTTTTAATAGTCTTTTCCCATGACAATGACAATGACAATTAGTGATTTATAATGTAATTTCGGATTACAAAAAGCAATATAGATAATATGCTGCATATGCATGCTCAAGATGAATTTTTTGCCAGACAGTCATCAAAAGGACAGGAAAGGTTAACAATTTCAGTTCAACTGGAATATTGAATGGTAAAATAGATTTACTGAATTTAGAACTTTTTGTATTGTACATTTGAAATTCCGATGCTTAAAAAAAATCTATTCTCCCCCTCCAAAAATGATGGTATATGGCTGCTTCAAAACTAAATTACTTTTTAAAAAATCATTTTTGAAAATGTACAAAATTACTACATAAAAATGAATTCATAATACTTGATTCAGTACTATAAAAAACATTATCTATGATTGGAAAATTTTGGGAGTACCTTTTTTTGCAACAATACAGTTTTAAAATAAGAGAGATCTGATATTAGCAATGAAAATTTAGGTGAGATGCCGAAATCAAATGTGCAGCAAGCATTAATTCAACATTATGATTCTAAACAATAGAAGCAAAAATTGCAAAACATCCTCTCATTATGATAATTCTGATGTAACATTTTTATGTTAAATGAATTTACCATTTTTTTAAATAATGATTGTCATTTTTACTGCAATCATGATTCAATGTCTGTAATATGATATAAAATATATACCCTAAAATATTTTGATTGTTTCTTTTTATTAATTTTTTATGTAGCTATTAGAAAATTTTACTGCATAATTGTAATGATATTTCTCTTGGACAGTACTAGTATAAGTAATAAAGCCTCCTTAACTTGAATGGTGACTGTCATCAAAATTTCAAATGCATTTTCCTTCTTTAACTTCTGCTTGCTGTTAACTTTTTCTTAGTAAATTATGCTACAGCAAAAGCCAGAAAGACGTATAGACATGAAATTTTTTTAACCTGTAGTCCTGAAGGAAAATAGCATATTAGATATTTAAGTGTAAAGGTATGTGTATCTAACCTGTTTCTTCAATGAAGTCTAGTACATAGCCTTTTTCATAATCACACTGCATAACAAGCAAATGCTTCATATATTATAATTAAAGCAGGAACTAAGAGATAAAGGAATTATAACCAATATAATAGCTACCTGCATGTGCATTTAAATAATATGGTGACAAGCCTTTGAAAAATCTAGTCTTTTAGCTAAAGATTAGAATTACACTAAAAAAAAACGCAAAATGATTAAACTTCAAACTAAATAAGTACAAATGCACAGATTCCCAGAAGTTCTCAGAAAAAGATGGCACATCAGGTAATAATTAAATGGATTCAAAAGACATGAATAGCTAAATACTAAAGTGCTCTAAAAGGCAAATCAACAACAGACTTCCATCATAATATGCATGCAATATGCACATCAAAAAAGTTTAAAATGTACAAGCACAATACACATCTTTTTTTTTTTTTTTTTTTTTTTTTTTTAACAGTGGCCCATGAAATAGGAAACAACTTTTATTTAGCTTTACTTCTGAATTTGCAAAAAATAATTTATTATTATTATTAACAGTCACTTTAACCCTCTGGGCGGCCAAGGGTTTTCACTAAGAAAGCTGAAATTTCCTAAAACTACTATGAGAAGAAATTATTTTTTTGATTTTAATGTAAAAACTTTCCTGGTATTTCATACCTGGGTTTGTTTTCTTTTGATATATTGCCTTAATTTTGTTGACATATTTTAATATGCATGTATATATACATTCTTACAGATATCACAATAAATATTCTAGGCCGTATATATAGGGCCTTGCTGCTCAGAGGGTTAATAAAATGCACCCCCTCCCCCCAAAAAAAACAATCTCCAAACAGCAAAAGAAGGTTGCTGGACGGAAAATCAGTGCTCTATTAGCTGCTGCATTTATTTAAAAATTAAATAAAACATAATAAAAACATTTAAAAATGGGTTAGTAAGCTATTTTATGCTGAATAGTAAACGAACAATATAAAACCATGGAATATTTTAATAAAAAAATAAATTTTTATTTTTAAAAAAGGAATAATATCAAGAAAAAAAGAAAAGATAACTTTCAATTTTGTTTTAAAACTAATAGGGATCTAAAAAAACATTTTGCACTCCCACCTTTCTTTCTTTGCTTTCACATTAGAAGCTTTTGCTTTTAAATCTAGTAATCTAGAAGTAAACACTGAATTTATACTAAAAATTACGAGACTTGTAAATGTAATGACCAAATAAATAAATGTACAAAATTAAGAAATGAAATAATATTTCACTTTTAAAAATAATTCCATAAAAATTTATTTCATTAAAAGGCAATACTTCCATTGTCAATATAAAGTATTTTCAGACTCTAATTGGATTCAAAGAAAATACACTACAAAGTCCATAATCCGGACTCGTCGGGATTTCGGCGATTCTTGATTAGGGGTTTTCCGGATTATAGATCATCAATTTAAATCTGGTAAGATGGCATGCAGAAATTATACAATTAAAAATATGAAACCGTAATTTATGAAATAAAGAGCAATTATGATTTAAAGGGTATCAAAATTTACAAAAAAAAAAAATCTTAATATTTATTTGTTTACTTCATTAAACATTCATCACTTTGTCATGATCGTCACTTTTAGCATAACAAACCCTTTTTCTGTTAGTCATGGCAAGGGGGGTGTCGGAATACACAAAATATTCAAAAAGTTCCTTTTTCTTTTTGTTTATGTTATATACAGTTGACTTTCCAATGTCATACTCCTTGCATAATTTTGAGATGGATATGCACATAATTTTGATACTTTATCCATTTTTTGCAGCAATTCCACTTTTTGTTTGATGGTCATCGAAACATTGCTTTTACTTTGTAGATCCTTTGGCAGCTCCAGAATTTGAAACTCTTTTTGACATAATCGAAAGTTCAAGCTTACTTTTTATAAAATTGCTCTAAGAGTCTGCAAAAAAAAAAAAAAAAAATAAGCCGGAACAGCGCAATCTACAATCATTAACTGAAATGCCTTCGATAATTTTAGCCTAGCTTATACCGTCCGTTAGACATTAAACATGTATTCGTAAATGCATATGCACATGCGTAAACACATTATACATTTATGCATGCACATAAAGTTTGTAGCTTTGAGGTCTGGATTATAGATCATTCCGGATTATGGACGTCCGGATTACAGACTTTGTACTGTATGTCAAATTATAAAAAACAGAATCGTGAAATACAACTGCATATGCATTTAGACATGCAAAACAATGCAATATGAAAAACAATTATCCCCTCCCCCATTAAAAAAACTTAAGAAACCTTTTATTAGTTAAAGTGGCATAAAGCAAAGAAGCAATTAGTGACAATAATGAGAAATTGCATCAATGGAATATTAGACAATAAGTGATATTATGATTTAAAATATATAGAACACAGAATATAAAAACATTTATTATTAATATCTTTAAGTTATCTGCCAGGTTCTAAGGCTTTAAGTTCTCACTTCAAAATTAAGGTATATTATCTTCTCTGGCAGATAACCCTTGCACACTTTGAAATACAACAGTACTCCTGTTACTCTTTCTATTGTGCAGTTCTTCATAGGCAATCCAAAATTTTAAACATTTAGCTTCTTTTACAATGAATGTGGCATTTTACTTCAGTTATTGCATTAAACATATACTATACTACATATTTTGGCTTTCAATTTTTTGTCATATAAGTGAAAATATTTTGGTATTTATTTTGTTAACTAAACTAAGACAATGTCTTTTGCAAAAGCAAAGTGATATCAAACATGCTGTTGTCAAGCAGTAGCATATCCATACTGCTGGAATATTTTTAAAATTTTAATAATTCAATCAGTTTTATATATATATATATATATATATATTTACTGAGAAACTACAGCACTAGTTCCCTTAAATTATTAACACATCTAGTGTAAATAAAATGTTTAAATTTCCGTGCATGAAATCTGTAAAGCACTTTTACTATTGTTTACTTACTGTAAGTTCAAAATTTTCAAATTATAGTATCAGTCTCAAATTGTTTTAGATCTACATGTAAATGAAAATACTATATCATTAATTTTAAAATTATCTCAGATATACTTACAATTATATTGACTACTTTAAACACTTTTTTTTACAATATACATGAAAAAATATTTTTAGATTAAGAAAAATAGGGTATTGAGTTTAAAAATATTATGTAACAAAGAGGCCTTTAAAACATTAGAACTTTAACAATACTATGCTCAAAGGCTCAGAAAACTGATTAATTAAATCATCACAATTTCTTGCCGACAGAGAACTAACTATATTCATATTACAAGCAATTAACTTTTCAAGATTATGCAGCTCTACTGTGAAAATACTCTTTGATAAAGACAGTTTAAAAAAATATACAAGTAATTTTTCCCCCCATTAGAAATTAATGTAATATAAGCAAGAATTCCCCACTCACATTTCAAGTACTAACATTCATTCCAATGTTCAAATCTATAACTTCTTTATGCATATCCAGCACAGTGTGAAATAAAATCTTAATTTAACTACAATTTTATGGGTTTTTTTTTTTTTTTTTTTTTTTTTTGGAAAAAGCTTTAGAATACCATTAAATTCATTAACGAATGCAGAAGATTAATGGAAATAAAATTATGTACAAATTCAGAAGTATTTAAAAATCCTTGATAAAATTTGCATTATAAATGATAAGAATTACACTGATTAAAAGAAAATCCCACAGATACAATTTAGTTGATCAATTTTTAACGAAATTGAATGGGAGTTTTCAACATGCTCAAATAAATGCCATTATGTTGTTTCATACAAATGATTAGGATGTTTCATTTAAATTATGAGAGGCACAAATATTGAATGAAGATGCTCAATGCCCATTTGTAAGTGCAGTAGCTGATGCATTTGAAACTTCGGCAAAGAATTTAAGTTTCTTTGGCAAGCCCAAATGAATTTATTTTACTTACAAGTTCATAAGCCCTTCAAATTTTCATTTTGAAAAACTCATACTAACACAATTATGAATCAATTACTACTCTAAGCTTTAAAATAGTTTTTACCTTATAACTTTCAGTAACCAATCTTTAAAAATCTAATCACAGCAGATCGGGATAGGCTCAGGAAAATTTATATTCGAAACTTTTAATGTGTATATTTCACAATGTTAGTTATCTATAATATGCATAAATCTTAGATTGGTCCCTAATGTCTGGAACCTCTTTCTGCACATATAGTGTAGTTATCATAAGCTTTATTTGAATCTGAACAACTATTTTAAAGCAAAGCATACTTTCAGTGTTAAAACCCATTTACAAAATTCTTTCACAATCTCCTTACATTGCAAAAAAATGCACTGGCAGATATTTTCAGGTACTTTGTTTCATGTTTTCTAAAAATACTTCCATTCCTTTAAAATTAGGTACAATTCAATCACAGGCTGCCATTAATAGTAGGCATATAGATTCATGTGTTTTGCAAGGCAAAACAGAATATGTTTTTCTTTCACTGAAATAAAATTCTGAGCTAAATTTTCTGTTGAAAACATAGTACCTTCTGTAAAGAATCAATGCCTACCACCTATGGCAAAATTCAATCTTAACTGGCATGTTTCCTTTATATTCCATTAAATATCTGTTTACAGTTTAAATCAAATATTTTAAAGCTTAAACGTATGCCTGCTGCAATTTTATAACATGTAAAAATACAACAAGTGCATACTTTGGCAGTTACTGAGAATATTAAAAACTATTACATCATATGTTTTCCACAGGCAGATGTGCAAGATTTGGTCGTGTAACAACAACTGGTTCTTTTGATAGTTCACTAAAGGGGACATACCCTTTAGATATATTCTGTTCCTTTAACCTTACATTCTCTTCTGTGTTAGTTTGGCCATAAAATGCAAAGTCTTCATCTATGCTACTATCACTTACATGAATGTCTAATTCATTACTACCAAGTGCACTATGAATTTGTTCATCGTTTTCATTATTATTTATCTGAGAAATGTCATTACATAGTTCACCAATACTGGCAATGTTGTGTTCAGAATTATGAATGTCAAAATCTATGGCCGGGCTTTCTTCGGAAGGAATACAGCTTTTTGTAGTCTCTTTAACACCAACATTAGATAATACAGTATATGAATCAGAAGGGCCAACTGAATGATTCTCATCAACTGTAATATTCAGAGATTCGTTAATTTTAACATCAGGGATAACAGAAGATTCATCCTTATCTACTTCATGATTAAAATCACTACTGTCCACTGGTTCTGAAGCAGAGGCAGGACAAATGGCTACATTTTTAGGTGAACTGTGAATGTTCATCGATTTAGCATCTTGAAAAGTTACATAAGACGAGCGACAGTCTGGCTTAGATGCCATGCCCACCTTTGAATATGCATCATATTTCACAGCTTCACCGTAACTAACATAGCCATTATTTGAAGGCTCATCTTTTACTGGACCTTTCTCTAAATACTTTTTTGGCAACGTGCCGGAGCATAAATCTTTTGGTCTGATGTACACCGGACTATGGTGCAAGGCAAGAGCAGTCAAAGCACTATGACCCTCAGGTACATATTTCAAGCAGCATTTTGTACCAGAAGAAATTACAGGTAAATTCTTCTCCTCACTACTATTCAGCTGTGGCAAAGCTCTATATGTAGTACCAAATTTGGAATAGCCAGGTGTGCTGATAGTAAATGGCTGATTAGACATATTTAGCCCATTACCAGCACTTCTGGCTAAACCAAATTTTGAATATGGCGCTATTCCAGAAAGAGCTACAGGCTCGGGACAACAAGTATCAAAATCTGATACAGATGGCTCACTATTGGACAGACTGCTTTTTTCCAGCAAGCCCAAATTTTGTTCTCCATAAGGTACATACGATAATGTGCTAGAAGGAAGAACAGCAAATTTGCTATATGCTGGCATCTGCCCTGCATTTTTTTGAATTAAAAATGGACAATTCTTCTTTCTTATGTACCACGAGTATTTTGTCGGAATTTCGATATTTTGTGACATCAGAGTGGGTCCAGTTCCTTCCTTCTCCAAACCAGAATCTCTGCTGACTGACCCATTACTTTCTTTCACAATTGTTAGATCTGGCTTGTATGAACGAGGAGTGGTATTCGATGAGCTTGTATCAGAAAAAAATCCATCTGGAGATGGAGGAGAATCTATCTCGGCACCAGAATCAATCGACAGGTGAGTTTTCGTCGTATTTGAAGATGATATACTATCATGGCACTTGCCTGATGCGTCGCTTTCACCACTATTGTTGCGTCCAGAATGAAGTCTTTTTGATCTATCCGATGGCTAAAAAATTAAAGAAATATATAAATTAATATTTTAAATCTATATCACTGCTTAGAAATAACGCATTGTGTTAAGAACAAATAGATAATTGGATATGATTAAATTACTGGATTATAATCTTCAAATGATACTCAAACTGAATTTGTATGTTGTGTACAGCTGTGAAACTTGAAAACACTTACAGCTAAAATGTTTGTTTTAGCTTTAACCTGAAAACATTATTAAAGCTAAAATAAACATTCTTTCCCTTCTTTACATGCATTCATTTTAGCATAAAACTGCAGATACATTTTGATTAATCTTTTATTTCCTAGTATATATGACTGGCAGGGACACACGATTTACAAGAGTCAGAAATGTGGCTATATGTTTGATGAATATGTATTAAACTGCTTGCAAATGGCATGGCATTTAAATTCACTCTGTAACCAGGTGTACCACATATCACTTTTTAGACAGAACATTTAGTTAGTATTTTTTGTTGCCACTAAATGTGGCTATATGTCTGTTATACTGAAATTTATGGAAAGTGAAGTATTGACCTTCACTTCTTTGCAATAGAAATGGTTAAAGGTACATTAAGCTCTTTCCCTAAAAAAAAATCATGTGCCCAAAATTATATCATTAGCCAAAATGGCACTGCAGATGCAATAACAAATATGCAACATATGCATTTGCATTTTAAATAACTATACTGGAAAACTAGCATTAACTAGAATGATTTGTCTAATAACTGAGCAATGTCGCAAATTATTATCAAGCCATAAGACTGGACAGACATAATTTTAAGGCAGCATCTTTGGTGCTAACTACAGGATAATTAAGAAAGTAATTGCTTATAATAAGAAATATCAAAAACAGAAAAGTCTCTTGAAAGAACTGATAGCAGCACTGATACAAAAGTACTGGTAAGGATCAAAAGTGATTAAAACAGCAAGCAGTTTCAGGCAATAAAATGAGTCTGGTTAGTATTCTTGTGCTAGCTACCAACTTTGAAATATTGAGGGGGAGGGGGATGGGCTATAAACAGACAGGAAAAAATCTGACTCCCGATCAGAAAAACTAAGTCCATTAAAAAGACAAAAATCTTCACTTAGTTCTATTCATATATTTTTTCATTCATGTTTTTTCCCTTCAATATATGTAAAAGATGAGCAACATTTAGAACTTTCTGTATTACCTTATGCTTACGTAATTTCACGTTTTATTTTCTCTATTTTCATCATGTACCTTCTGTTTAGTTTTTCTTAATTGTAACATATAATTCAAACTCATATATTATTATTACTGCTACACAGGGTATTAGATATATCAGCTTGAATGCCAACTAATGTAAATGTTCACGATAAAAATTAAAATGTGAAAATTACCTCTTCATTTAGTATGCAACCATTTCCAATATCTTTGGTATCTCCTTCTGAAGCAAAAGAGCACAATCTCTCGTAAGTCCTGTCATATGGTATGCCAGAATCATGACTCTTCTGCAAACCGCTTTTAAATTTATCATACGAATTCAATGGATTCTAAAATAAAATTTTAAAAAATTCATTAGTTTATTTATATTTTAACTCAGTATCATGCAATTCTTTCAGGCTTATTTTTTAAATAAAAACACTAGGCTTTATTAAATTAAGGAAAAGTTATTTTTACTCTTCCAGATTAGGTCTCAGCAATGATCATTTGGATGCAGAACTATTAAAATAAATCCTATACAGGTCAACAGAATGAAAATTGTAAAAATATTTCACTACAAATATATTTCTTACATCAATTGGAGAATCTAATCCTTTTGGAAGTTGAACATTGATGCCTTTTATCATTGCAACTTCTCTCTTCATCCTGTAATTCAAATGTATAAAATATAAAAATTTATTAAAATGAAATTACACATCATCAGTTAAATGAATCGCTATAAAATTTCAATGAAGAAATAAACAACTAAAGCCATTTTGTTTGCATTGCTCTAAAGCGAGTTCTCAACCGGTGGTATGCGTACCACTAATGGTATGTAAGAGAAAAATAGGTGGTTTGCAAAGAAGCAAAGTATTTCTAACTATTAAATTCAAAAATTAAAACCCCAACATCCTGATTGTGTTTTTTCTCTAATACTCGTAAATTTATGCGACATGAGCTTTGTTTAAGAATGGTGATGGTAGTAGTACTTTGTAGTGGTGGTACTAAAGGTTTTTAATTTTTGTTTAGATGGTACGCGTTAGTCAAAAAGTTGAAAACAACTGCTCTAAAACATATAACTGCAAGCTTTGGAAGATAATCTCAAATTTATAAGGGGGGAAAAAACCTCCACAAAAAGTGAATTTCAGAGAGAAAGCTGACACATAACTTTATATTTTTAAAATAGCACGGAAAAAATACTATGCATAAGAAATGGAAAACTAGATAAATGAAATATATTTTATTGTAATTACAACAGCTTTTTTTGGGGGGGTGACAAAAAAGCAATTTGGAAATTCTGCTTTATAACAGTTACTTAAATTTCAGAATGAAATGCTTAAAAGCTGCCAAAATGAAAGACGAAAGCATTTTAAAACATCACAGAAAGAAATAAAAACATTTAATTAAAAAAAAAAATAACAAGTTCAGTAGCACCATTCTCATTCAGCACACCGTAACAGTGATACTATATTTGTTGGAAAAACGTCATGAAATTTGCTAGTCATTGAATCAACATTTTCTAAATAAATTTTCTTAAAATCACAAACTTTAGCATGTTGCAACAAAAGAATTCATATTGAAGGAAAAAGTGCTTCTAATGGAATAAAGAGGATGAATTCAATTCATAACTCAAATGTCTACCAGAGTATGCACTTTACCCTCTGAGTGGCATGACCAACTTTATCCAGTCATGAGTTTTTTTGTTATTTAGCATATAATAGCTTATAACTTTTTGTTATTTAGCATATAATGGCTTATAATTTAAGATATTTTGCTTTCTTACCTTCCTTAATAATGTAAATGTCATCTTAATGAATGTAAGTTTATGAAAATAGAGACTAATGTAATTAATTATACAAATTTAGCTAATAAATACAGTTTAAATAGTCTTCATGACAGATCGAAAAACGTGTGCTGCTCAGAAGATTAAAATACAGATTAGCCAACAAACTGCAACATTTATAGAACACGAGTTTCAAAGCATAAGACTGTAAAACGAGGAGTTTTCTTAAAAACTTGGAAAGTCAATACATGTTAAGTTATTGATTAAAAATCGCATATTTGAATATTCATAGTTTAAAATATTCAGGTTGGTAATATCTGTGATCCACGTTTAAGCTATATGTGTTAAAGAAATGAAAAAATACTGTATCTGGTTATCAGACTGTTAACTGTTGCATAAAAACTCTAATCCTGAAGTGGAATTATGGAACTCCTTTCCACAATTCATTAAAAATTAACTGTTTCAAAGATACACCTAACTGAGTGCAAATAAGAGCTAAGTCTTAAAAAAAAAAGAAGAAAGAAAGAAAAACTACTCTCAAAATTAAGCTCAAACTTAAAAGTTCAAAATAAACTTTTATTTTGGTTAATTCATAAGTTAAAATGTTCTTAACTTTCAGTATCCTTAAATGATAATATGTAAACATAGATATATTTAATACAGATGATATGAATCTTAATTTTTTTTTAAATCTGAATCCTAAAAGGTTCTGAGTATCTCATAAATTTCAAATTTTAAACTTCTCAGACCCTTCATATAAGAATAGTTATTCATTACAGTAAAATCTGAAATTTGAATCTTAATGAGAAACAAATTTTAAAATATAATTTTAAAGAATCTATATATTTATTAAGCAATTACAAATAAAATTTAATAAAACAGTTCAGATCCTTTACATCATTTTTAAATGGTTTTAAATAAAAGCAAAAGTACACAGAGGAGAGAGCATTAGGTCAAGAGTTGGCTAAAATAAACATTAAATATATAAAGTTAAATTATCTTAAAAAAAAAAGTGCAAGATTTAGGATAACAATGAGATGATACTTATAATCCAAGTCCACTGAATTGTAACAATGGCATTACTTTTTAATAATTCCTTCTAATGAACACCACTGAAACTAATATTTCTAAAGTTTCGAGTTGAAACATTTAATGGAGTTTTAGGTCAGAATGTCAAAGATTCAAATGAAAGAGGGGGAAGATAATTTCTACTTTCAGATCATTTTTTAACTTTCAAAGAATTCGAGAACTAGAGTGTCACATTCTTAAGATTTAAAATTTCCTGTAATACCTTAAACATAATCAAAGTCAATGAAATTAACATTTATTATCTAATGCAGTTAAAAAAATTACGAAAAAAATTATAAAAAAATTACTTCTAGACAAAATAAATAAACAGCACGTTATATAATGCTCACCTAATGAAGTCTAATATAGTTGATTTTTCATAAGGCATATCAAGATACATATATATATATAAATATATATATTGCTCTTATTTCTTATCTTTTACAATTTAATTACTTGCTTTAATTTTCATTAACAGTGTAAGGCAGATTTAAAAAAATCCCTGGTCTGTTACCACCCTCCAAAAAATGTAATTTTAAACTGATAATTATCAAAGAATATTTTTAATTTTATACAGTCAACATAAGAAAATTTCATGAATATGACAAAGGTGGTTTATTTTTTTTAAATATATATATACAGTCAAAAGTCGGTAATTCGGACACCCATAATCAGGAATGATCTATAATCCGGACCTCAAAGCTAAAAACTTTCTGCGCATGCGCCGCGTTGACACATGCGCATAGGCGTTTAAGCTTGCGCGTAATACCTTTTACCACTGCGCATATGCGTTTGCGCAAGCGCAAAATACGTTTTTGCGCGCGCGTTTTATGTATAACGGACAATATAATCTAAAATTATCTAATTATCTATTTCAGTTAATGTTGATGATTGCGTTGTTCCTTAATATTCGAATTGGATCCGGTTTATATTTTTTGCAGACTGTAAGAGCAATTTTATAAAAGTAACTTGAACTTTCGATTATGTCAAAAGAATTTCGATTCTGGAGCTCCAAAGGATCGTCAAAACGAAAGATGTTTCGATTGTCCATCAAACAAAAAGTGGGAATTGCTGCAAAAATGGATAAAGACATGAAGAATGTGACAGAGGGTAGTGAAAACAAAAAAATTCGATTTGACAAGTTAGTCGGTATTCTCGGCACAACAATTAAGGGACTTGAACAGCGGAACTTTGTAACTGAACAAGAAATTTGTCTGTTTGTAGAATTAAAGAGAAAAGCATTATCACATAAACGAAGCAACTTAAACAACTTACATTGAAAGAAATGTTTTAAAGAAACAAATAAATATTAGCTTTTTTTTTTGTAAATTTTGATACCCTTAGATCTAATTGTTCTTTATTTCATAATTGGTTTCATATTTTTAATTTTAGAATTTCTGCATGCCATCTTCCGAGATTTAAACTGATGATCCATAATCCGGAAAAACCGATAATCCGGAATCGCCGAAGTCCCGACGAGTCCGGATTAACGACTTTTGACTGTATATATCACATCTCTTTTGATTTTAATCTATTGAAGTGCATTTTGAAACTATTAATTATTTTTAATGTAACTTCTAGTTATACATAAATGTAATTTATTTTAAACAAGTAGTTTTTAACTTTTTAATAAGTAAATTTACTATGAACACACTACAATTTTTGACACATTTTTCATCATTTAAGTGAGGGGTTTGTGAAAACAGACGAAGCAATGAATTATTTCATCTGATCAAGAAGATTCAGGAGCAAAAAAAGTCAGAGAAATCTTCTCTACACATTGTTGTGCAATCAAAATGAGGGAAAGAAAATATTGGACAAAGTAATTAGCCTCTTGTTTTAATAAATGCAGGTCAACAAAGCACTCACCATGATATTACACAATACATTAGTAGCACAAATAGTACAAATCCAATAACAGCACCAGCTGTGCTACCTATTATCAATCCAAATGAGGTGCCTGAAAGGATAATTTAGAAAAATATTCAAATTTAATGCATTACAAATTAAATTATAAAAACACATCGAATATAATTTTCTGACAGTTTTTAAAATACATATTTACAGATACTTAACCCCTCAGGTGCTATTTGAAAAATGGCCAGACCTTTTATTAGCAAAGTGAACAATGATTCATAGTTACCAATTCAATTGAAATTTAAAAAAATATTGGAAATGTAAATAATTTTATTTGGAAGTGAGAGAAATAGAATTTTTTTTTTTTTTTTTTTTTTTTTTTTTTATTTTTTTTATATTTTGTTTTTAATAATCATACTTCGAAATAGTATGTTTACTGAGAAAAATTTCAGTTTTATTTCATAAAAGTTAAAATTTTAAAAATCAAATGAAACTTATATGGAATGCAATATTATACAGCTTTAGGGCACCATTTTAGCATCTCTTATTAATTACAATAAATGTGAAAATGTTTATAAAAATTGTGAGACGGATATATTGTAAATTAAATTTTTTTAATTCATAACAGTTAAAATAAAACAAAGATTTAAATGGCACAAAGCATATTTATTACTTTTAAAAGAGCTTAAGTTTTAAATTAACATAATCTGATTCAACTAGAATGACAAATTTACAATTTTGTGCTTCATGGAATATTTGAACATCGTTCTTCATCTTTAGTTATACTATGGTTTCTGTTAACGTTTTCAAACTTTAGTGACATTATCCCTTTATTTTAAATAAGTTGACTTGTTATCAATGTCTGGCATCTAAATGAAAATAAAAATAACTGATCATTTTTTTTCTTTATTTCATTTTACTTTATTTTTTAATTTTTACTCATTATTTACTTCTGTCCTTTAATTTTTTTAAACTTTATTTTTCTCACACTTGTTGTAGCCAAGACTGTCTTATCATTTTATTATTTTGCTGTTAACCCATTACTAAGTAACAGCTTTTATCATTCCTAAATAAGTAACTTAATGTTTTAACTTTCATTATAAAAAGTTCTGCATTTCATGCAATGCATAACTGTAAATAACATGAATTTGTTAATGCAAATATCCATTACCATACATTAAGTGCTAAACAGCATTACAGTTTTTAAAAAGTGTTGATTTCACTTTGTGGTTGATTTCACTTTGTGGATGAGATACTGTTGGCAAGTGACAAAACTTAAAAAATCTTTCACTTACCTTAAATATTACAAAAGAGCGTAATGCATCGAAATATTAAGATACTCATTTAAAAAAAATCATTTTATCAGGAAAGGCAAAATCTGACTTAATGACTAGTGTCATAGAGTTTCAATACATCATTCTTGTAAAAATTGTTTCATAAGAAAAAATTGAATTTAATTAAATAAATTAAGTAAAAATAATAATAAAATTTAATTACAAATTTAATTAAATAATTCTTTGCACCATTGCTGCAAGGAATGAAATTTTAATTTAACTAATTAAATTAAATTTTAACAAACATGTATATAAAAGTAAAAAGCAAATTTTAAAAGCAAATTAAAAAAACAAATGTTTCACTTTTTTTTTAAATATTTTAAAAATTTTTTTGCTTTAAATTTGCTTTTTTAATTTTGGCTTTAAATTTGCTTTTTTACTTTTATACGTATTTGTTAAAATTTAAATTTAATTAGTTTAAATTCTTGTAAAAATAATTTTCTTACACTTATTATTACTTTTTTTAACTGTGCAGAAAAAGTTCTGTAACAATAATATCACCTTCTCCAAACTGTCATTTGTAAATTACATTAGAGCACTTTCCATATGCATAGTTTGTAGGGGGTGACAAAATGAATTTATATACTTAATTATTAGCATTAAATTTTTTTAATTTGACAACACAGCGATGCAATTTTCCCGGTTTAATCATTTTCCCACATTTATTTTCCTTCTCCACTTCCCTGAAAAACTGTTAATCCAAGGATTTAGTGCAGTTAAATATATTATTTATACACATGCAATCTAGAACAATTAACGTATTTCATGTAACTTCATACTCATAATTTCTCAAAAGAATCAAAAATATAAAAACCTTTGCTAATTTGGACATACTACTGACAAAAATGACATGTAACAATAAAAGCATGCAATTAAAAAAATTAATTTTTAGAAACTCACTTGAAACACAAAGTATTGTTTCTGTCTGTCTGCTAAAATCTCCATATAAGGCCATATCACCTCTGAAGTTGACAGCCCGAACTTTAAAACTGTATACTATTTTTTCTTCTTTTTCTTCATCTGAGCAAGCAAGGGAAAGAATAAGGAAGTTACGTCCAGTAATATTATATTCTTCTTTTATACTACTGTTTGTACTTTCCTTTACAACTTGGTATAAATCTAATGGTCCATTGGGCAAGAATGGAGGATCCCAAGATATATTCATTGAAGATTTCAAAATTTCGACACTAGGTGATTTCATTATACCTGGTCCTGAAATCAGTTCAAAAGTATATGTGAATACAAAATTTTACTTTAAAACAATATCAGCTATTTGATGTGTGACACCTAAGATGGATTAGGAAGAAATACCAGAGAGTTCATTGTAATATACAGTACATATGTATTCTAAAAATATGTGCACTAGTACTCTTTCACATACAACAAAAGTATTTTCTTGCACATTACAATTTACAGCAGGTTCATTGTTCCATTGTTTTACAAAGTGTCAAACTTTAGTGATTTAGTGATATAAGAAAACAGCTATTACGTGTTGAAAGTTGAAGTGATAACAGAATCTAGCTCAATATTCCCAATCCTCTTATTCTCATACATCTCTACGATCATTTTCGACTTATACAAATAATGGGTGATTGCGACCCCATTTCAGAAAACCTGAAAATTACTGAGAAATAAAAATTCAGCATGATTTCGTATAATGCAGAATATTAGTACACATGCATACATATATTCAGAACAAATTTATTAGTGAAGCAAGAAGTATTATTTATTTATTTATTAAAAATTCATTTATGTTTTACTACAACATCATTTCAAACAGTTCCTATTTCTTTTTTTGCTATATGAGCAAATAACTACGAAGTTTAACTTGCTTTTTTGGAAGAATCGCTGCATTTATAATTTTCTTTGCTGACAGTTTAAAGTTCAGTATGATCAGCAAGATATTTTGATTTTTAGACAGTGGCTTTTCATTCAAATCTTAGATTAGAGCTTGGAGTATGATATCAGTAATGCTGGACAACAGGAACTGCTAGAAAGAACATAATTGTTCAATGGAATATCAGGAACTTTGGAACTTATCCCTAGAATCTTTACCAATACTCTTTAGAGAGATTTCCTGCACCAAAATCTTTACATTTATTTTTGTGTAATGAAAATAAATAATATTTTTGTCTTTTCAATCCCACTATAAATGTTATTGGATGTTCTACATTCTATTATAATATCAATCATATTATTAAATGAACTTTCAACAAAAGGTCCAAGGAAGCAAGTTAAAATACATTTCAGTTTTGCAAATACCATGTATTTCTGTTTTCTATCTTGTTTCAGCCCAAAACTAAGTTTTTTCTATTTATGCACAAATGGCCATAGGTATCTAGTATTTATGGTTTATAAGTCTAAGAGTCTTTATTTTGTGTAATCTCTGAATGGTATATTTTACTTTTAAAAAAATTGAGAAAGATGAGTGAACATTACACAAATCCAGAAATTCTGGATTTAAGAAAGTAAAAAATCTTGACCACAATCACCTCTGAATTAAACATTGGGAGTAAAAACAATCAGGGTGAAAACTTCAGGTATATCTTCAAATTATAGGAAACTCTTAGGCTCACATTCTAATTTGACAATTATTAATATGTCGTAAACGGTATCAGCTGTTGGTGGTTAGACAGCATTTTTCTCTATCTCCCAGCAGTGTGCTACAAGGGCTCATAAACTAATAATCTACCAGGCTAAAAAATTAATGATTCTTATTTCTATTATTCTTTGAAACAATACATTTTGTTGCATTTTTTCATTTTTCACTCTTCTGTGGGTTAATAAGTCAGAAATCAGACTTTTAGAAGTACAAGAAAGAGACAGAAAATATACTCTAGTACACAACATATATTATTTAGTATAATAGATAATTGCCAACATTGAGACATTATGCATTATGCATTAGTAGTATAATATATAATGTCTCAATGTTGGTAATGTCTTCTACAAATAATCAATTTAACTTGCATGCAATTACACACACTATAAAACTATATCATTTTATATGGTGTTCAACATTATGAACAATTTCATTATCTTTGTTAATCCTGGAATGTAATTACTCATGAATATGAGGACACTTTTGTAATCAGTATCTTACAATGCGATGCTCACTTAGTGGAAAAGACCACTGTGCAGAAAAAAGCATGGTCCTAAATTACTCATGTCTAGACAACAGCTTTGATGTAATCAAATGAGGCATGAAATTATAGAAGCCAAGATCTCAAGTTCTATACCTCGCCATGAAGCAAAGCATCTAAAAACATTCAGAGGCACCTTCTATTGGCGAACATTGTCATTAACACCAAACTGCAGAGAACAGAAACAACTAGTTCACAGTACCAATAATAGATGACTCTGTAAGGCAGATAAGGTGCAAAAGTAGCAGGACAAACAACAACACTGCTGCTTCTATAACCTGAATGTGACTGGATGTTCTGCAATTGCTCATCTTCCTAAGCAGATTACTAACTGCATCAAGACAATGACAAATCGACACTTACACAGACATGCAAAAGTGTACCATAGTACTGTTGACTAGTACTCAAGCTCCATCCCACAGCCTAATGACAAAACACATGTCAACATATCAGGGTCTCTCAATGCCTATGGGCCCAAAATGTACTCACTTGTGCCACTATGCAAGCTGTGAAAAATATAACACCAATCAAGTTTGCTGAGAGGAGACTCTGCAGCAACACACTCACTGAGCTGAAATACATCAATCCAAATAGCCCATTCTTAAACAACTGTTTTGATATAATCAATTTAGGGCATGAATTAAGGAACTTGAGGTCCCAAGTTCTATATCCAAGGCCACGAAGCACTGCAGCAAAGAAAAGCAATCTTCACACATGCTCTTTATTGGCAAAGATCGACATTTAATACCACACTGCACAGATCAGGTTCATTTGACTCATGCCAGTTATAGATGGTGCCTCAAGAGCAGCAAAGTCCAAAATTTGTGGCAACAAAGAACATCACTGCAATAACAAATGTAGTTCTTATGTTGAATTTTTCATATCAGTATTTTCATACCTAAATATATTACTATATTCTTTTTTTTCGATTTATTTGAACCAAGTATAGAAGTCTTTTTTTGAAAAGATAGTTGACTAAATAATGAAAATATAGCATTCTAACTATCATACAGAATGTTTCTAAAAATGAAGAGTAATGGATTAAAAATGAACAGTATTTATAATGTAAACAAAACTACTTATTTCTACTTACTTGATATACCAGTTAAAGCATACACTGGTTTAGATGGTGGAGAACAAGCTTTTTCTACACAGGCTTCTACTTCAATGGAATAATTTGAATAATAAAATAGAGACTTCTGCAAGTCAACTATATATGCTCCATGGTCCATTTTCGTCTCCTGTACTCGGACTTGCACATGGTGAGATGTACCATCTGAAGTTTTATTGTAAGTTACTACATAGCGTGTTACGATTCCATTTGGAATTTGAGGTGGGACAAATGATATGCGGATTTTTGTGCCATCAATTCTTAAGATTTTCACATCACCTGGTGAGTCACTAGGAGCTGAAATGAAATTTGTTTTAATTTTGATTGTGTAAATTATGTAATATAGTACCGAAATAAGTATATTAGGAAATGTTAAAATATCAATGTTCATTATACACAACAATCACTCAAAATGAATGTATCACAAAATTTTATAAATCCAATTATATTGTGAAATTCTCTAACAAACGAAAACATTCATGTTTAGCATAATGACTGTTTAAATACAGCACAAAAACAAAATATTCCAAAATTCTTGAGACTAAAAAATACTATATAACTGATTTGATGCATCATTATTTACTGCTGAACAATTTATACAACACAAAGGAACTTAAAAATGTTTAAAAAAATTAAAGCATGAAGCCCTCAGAGAATTATTTATGGTGACATTAACATGATATAAAATACAATAGAAATAAAAGCCCAGAAATGTCATAAGCAGGGAAGATTAAATTAAATTAATTTAAAATGCTACTTTGATCATTTTAATTTGAAATGTGTTCATTCGTAGCAACCCTACAATTTCCTTTTTAACCACATGACAAAAAATGTGACAAAGAAACACACACACAAAAATGGGAAAAAAAAAGCTTTTTAGTACATTTAAATAAAACCAAGTAATTTATTTAAAAATTATTTTAATGTTACACTCCTAAATCTCATTTTTAATTAAGAAATTTCCATCTTAAGTTATACCTAATTCTATCATACATCTTACCATTTGATTCCAACAAAAACTTACAGAAAATGCTAATGAAAACATTTCTAACCCTCACATAAAAATTTTTGTCATCTGGCCTTTTTATTGCAAGAAATAGTACAGAAATCTTAATGTAAGAAGCACTACACTTTTATACAATTCAAGTGCAGAATGAATAGTTCTGCGATATCAGGGAGCTGTATTTTTATTCATTTGAACTATGAACTGTATTCTGAGTGACATATTCTTTACCTGTGCTATAAACAGCCAATCTGCTGTACCAGTTCTGCTGTTATTAGAGAATCTAGTACTAGATAATTCCTCAAGTCGCACTACACTAGTGAACCCTTTTAATTTCATTCTATTAACCCTTCCAGCATTACGGGTTTAACCCTGAAATTTCAAAGTTCCTCAAAATGTCATGAATAAGTGATATTTTCTTGATTTTAATTTTAAAAAAACTCTCTCATTTTGTACCTTGATTGTTTTTCTTCATATACATCCAAACTGAAATCAGATACATTAAAAGCTGGCAGAAATTTTCATGTATAATGAATATAGAAGGCAATCTTCTATACGGAATTTTCCGGCCGTAACGCTGAGAGGGTTAAAATTTTTTTTTTACCTTATAGCACTTTGTTTCCCAGTTTATTTAGAGTTTCCAAAAGCAAATAAATATTGACCTCATTAACAACCATTAACATAATCTGGCAACCACATGAGAACGCAATGAGAAAATTAAGAATCGCGTATTGCCTGCAAAATTTCTACTAAAATCAAGCACTTATATATATACACTAAAAATTAAAAACAGGTCTGACAAAACTGTTCCGATTACTGCTTGCTTTTTCTTTAAGAATATAAAGTCTAGTAATTAAATGGCTCTAAAATATGGCTGCTACTGCATATAAGATATTTACTACATTAAACATTGACTTAACATCCAATTAGTATGTTAAGCTGTTAAGCACTCCAAACCACAGAGGAAGAAAATAAGTTATTCTAAAAAACATTAATTTTTTTCGACACTGGTGAAATATCTTTAGCGTATCGTATATAATTCCTATGTATTTTTCCATATGTCTCTTATATTTGCCTCATATTTTAAGGTGTACATTTCTAATTGTAACTGAACTGCAGTTACCCCAGCTAATAACACCCAAATGTTGGATATTCAAAAATATGCAGTTAGCTCCCACTTCCCAAATAGATATTAAAAAATACACAATAAAAAATTTCATTATCAGTCACATCTCTAACAATTAGGTAATTTTATTTCGTCATATTTTATTTTATTAAAAATCAAAACACTTAAGGGGAATGACACTCCCTACCCATGGAAAAAATTCCTTGTATGGTGAGAAAAACTGGCATATCACTATATTTCTTCAGTCTGTTTTCAAAAAGGTTGAACCTATTAATGGCCTAAGCTATGACTTATAGCATAAACAAAGAACATAAGGCCTGTTCTTTATTAAGCAGGGTAATGATTTAGCATTCATGTTTATGGACTATGTATCTGTTAAACACTAAAAGCAGGGTAATGATTTAGCATTCATGTTTATGGACTATGTATCTGTTAAACACTAAGACAAACCCATGACACAGACATTCTTTTCAATTATATAATGACTTTAAAAAATATGTTTATATTCTGTATTAATATTTTATACTATATAAATGACCAAAAAATTTAAAAAGGCAAATATATTAACAATGGGCTTAATTCTACTTGGTTGATTAACTGATCAATACTATGCATGAAAACGTCCTATGCCTAAAAGATGCCTAATAAAGAGAAGATTGGATTGGATTATTCAATTATAGCAAAGCACACGAGGGCTATCTGCTTGAAGGAAGGGATGCCTTTGTGGAGAACTTTCTAAGAGAAATGGTTCGTATACACGTTACACATGGGAAAACCACGAAAACACCCATTCGCAGGATTCGAACCTCGGACCGAACTACCAGTGTTCAGTATCTTTACCGCTCGGCCGCTGGTGGGCCCCCTAAAAAAGAAAAATCCCCTCATAGACGACTTTCTAAAGGAAACACTTCACATACTGATGTTATTCATGGAAAACCCTAAATGCATCCATACAACCAGTCCTTTCACCAAGATCTGAAAGCTACTGATATTCAGTGGCCACTTGGCTTACTAGTGCGCCTCATTTTCTGAGGCCAGAAAAAATACCAAACAATCCAAATAACTAAAACTAACAATCCCACTACAAATTATTATGAGAAATATATAATCATTTCAAGGCTTACCTGATGACAAGGTAGACTCAGAAGCTATATTGCTGTCTGCACTCCATCCATTACTCGTTAAAACACGCATAAATGCTTTATAACAGGTATAAGGCTTTAGGGAAACCAGGTAATATTCATTCAAATGTCGGTTTTTGATGACTTCAACTTTTTCATGATCTGTTAAGAAGGGAAAAAAAATACACTAATAAATACTTGAAAATTGTTTTTGCTTGAGGTAAGGGGCAGGAACAGCTATAGAAAACCTATAGTTCAAAGATTAAACTTGTTTATTGATGAATAATTTTTTCATCACAGGATATATGCATTCTTAACTTTAATGCATAGCGTGAAATCTTAAAATCAGGAAAGTTTTGTGAGAAAAGCAGGTTTTTCAGGCTACATGGTGACCCAAATTGACTTTAATTCATTTTATAATGCATAGTTCAGTTTACTGAACTATTTAAATTCAATTTTGATGTAAAATATGTTATCATTTAGTTGGATATTCTAAATTTATGCTCTTAGGCTAATTTTGTTTTTTAATTTTCTTACACTCTTATACTCAAATCTTGAGTACTAAAGGATAGTTTTGATTTACGAAAGTACTTCTAAATATAATAAAAGTAAAATTAATGAATAATATACCTACTACTGTGTCAATAAACTTAGTACTGTGTCACATTCCTTGAATCTTATCTACAAATGTCTGCAAATGCATCTACAAATGTCTGCAGCAGATTAAGACAATTCAGATCAAGTGAAATTTAAGGATATCCATAAAATGTCATTAAGGAGGAAATTCAAAAGAAATAAAATTTAACAGGAAAAATTATTTTGAAAATCATTAGAAGTGCGGGAATGGAATTTGCTTAATTTAAGTTTCATTTATTGTTGGGAAAATATTTTCCTTTTCTTAATCGCTAAAAAATAAAATCTTAAAAGATTAGGTGATCTACTGGGGTAACGGGTGATGTTATGAAAAACCGGGAGAATTGACATCTATGGAAATTTTAAACAGCTTTCAAAGGTGGAAGGATGCTGAACATGCACAGAGTTACTTCTAGCTAAACCCCTTCCATAATGCCCTCTGGTCAAGAATAATATGTACATCATTGCCAATTTAATAAATGTCAATGGAACAGTTAAGATTATTGTTTCTAATCTTTTTTCTGTTGAAATACCATAAATTATGTCTCTGTCAGAGGCAAGTGAAGCATATTCTTCAAATACACACAATTTTTAATAGAACAGCAAATCATACTATACTTCCCTTTTAATATAGCTTTAGAAAATGTACAGTTTTGAATGTCACTGATATGTCCCAATTATCTGTTTATTACTATGTTTATGTGTCATGCTCATGCAGTGATTTTGTGACATATCTTTACTGTTTTGAGCAGGTTAATTTTATTTATTAGAATGCATGATTTACTTACTTTAAATTTTTAATAAAAGTATACATTGTAAAAAATACTTGTTAATAATGAATTACTTCCTGTTCCTGACAATTTTTGTTGCCCAATACATACCCTTTTTTCTCACTGCAGAGAAACTCAATAATTTGGAGCTTAAAAACCTCTTTCATATTTCCTTCAGATTTATTTTTACCCCATTCTTTCCATATGCTGATAAATTTTTAGTACAAAAGTAAGCACAGATGCCAGTCCATTCCCAGCACAAAAGTAAGCCCAAATCTCTGTCATACTACATCCAGCTTCCCGGCAATAAGCAATGGGAATTTTTTGCCAGATTTATGATATATAGCATCAAAACATTATTTCTAATATTCAATTTTTTAGTCTATAAGTCGTTTATCCTCAGTGACAAATCATACAGTGTCTCAAAAGATAACATTCAGAACGATCCGGAAATTTTTTTTTTTTTTTTAATTTTTGATGTTGCAAAGATTACTAAAAAATCTACTTTTTTATTTTGTAGTGCTAGTCTGTAACAATCTGCAGTAACTGATAATTTATTTCTTTTCAAGATTAATGTTTAAAACTAAAAAGGCAGAGCAAATTCTTACAGTGTATCTTAGCTAGAAATATCAGAAAGGCAGAGCAGTTCAAAAGCAATCTATCTCTTGAGAACTACTAAGCAATTCTTAATATGACCAATCCTTAATGAATACTAAGCAATCCCATTCAGAATGGCTTAGGATATTTAATAATAAGCATTTAAATTCAAGAGATGAATGAAATCACCCCTTGAATTAATTATTAATTAGAATGATTAATTTTATTTAATATTAAATTAATATTACATTAAAATTTTCTTTAATAATTAATATTAAATCAGAATTTTCATTATTAATGAATATTAAATTAGAATTTTCCACATTTTTTAAATAAATCAGTCTAAAAACCAAAAGCTCAACAACAGTTCAAACTACAAAGAAAGTTCTGAAAAAATCATTAATAAAAATCATTAATACAAGAATTAAAGGCAAAAATTAACTTAATTAACTTACTGGTACAATTGGCCTCAGCAGAGCAAACTCTCCCAGTTTCACAATAATGGATATTATAATGCTCCACTATACGTTTCTGGGCTTCACAATCTAAAGACCACTGTATCTTCAGGCTGGTTGAATGTTTTGGAGTTAACTCAACGCTTTTTATTTCAAAACGCTCTGTAAAGCAAGAATGTAATTAATCAACTGCAAATACGGGATATAATAAATGCTGTACTATAGAAATAAGTACAAAAAAAGAGTATTTTATTTTTATGTAATAAATTTTTTAATGTATTATAAGAATTGTAAAAGTAATTCAGCGATGCAATATATAACAGAAATTATTCATAAGGAATCACTATGATATCAAAATTTATCCTAGTTTCAGTAATATTAATTTTAATACTTTGCATTACAATTTAATCTAATCCTTTCATGTTACTTCAAACAATAAAATTTCCACAATATCTCCAATTCAGACTTTTTGCTCTATGTTATATTATTTGAAATTAATAGTTGAAGTATAAAATGGTTATTTTATGCAATAAAAAGCACATTTAATGTGCTAAAACAGCACCGCAAATACAACATCTACAGATATAAGGTCAATGAAAATGTGAATAATATGTGATTGGGTAAACAAAATCTGTTGTGCAAGTTATTAAAATTAACCAAAGTTGCCAATAAATTACGCCTCAGCATAGACAGAAATTAACCTCCACACACAGCTTTAGAAATTCATAATTTTAACTTCAGTCACATAAATTTTACCCCACCCCCAAAAAAACTTAGTCTATGTTGTTCTATACAATAAACATGAAATAAAAATTTAAAGTCCCTACTAACAAATTTTAAAGCACAGTTTCCCAGTCAGAGGAAATCTCATCGAGCATTATTAATATCAGGCACAGAATAATGCATTGAAAAGCAAGCAAACAATAAGAGTATAAGTTGGGAAAAATTCTACCTAAACAGTTTTTAAACATATAGTTCAACATTCATTTGATTGCAGCCATAAATCTTAAAAAAATCACATGAAATCACATTAATGTTGATCAACATTTTAAGCAGATTCATTTCGGTTATTCCAAATTATAAATTATGAGTCTAAAATTCTGAAAACATAGTCACAAGTAGTATTGGCAGTGTTGTCTAACATATCACACTACTGTGTTCTGTTATTATATACTACTGCATGAACCCTGAAAAGGATTTGTGCATTCTTTTTACATCTATTACTATGTCTTTAGAAGCCTTTAATTATTATAATTACATGATGAATTTAAATTACTGGGCTTTTCGTAAACTTCTGCAGCTTTTCATATGACAGCAAACCTTTCTTCTAATTATTTTGCCTTCATCAAAGCAGATATTTAAACATGGTCTTTTCTGCTCCCAATGCATAATTCTAGTATGTGTTGTGGCATAGTTTTTGTTCACTGCTAAGAATGAAAAGCCATTTTCCTCATCTTATGTTTTTTTACTTGAAAAAAAGAGAAAAATGCTAGACAGACAGCTCGTAATATACATACAAATGATTGCTTCTTATGGAACAATTTTAAAATGTTTTGAGAAGCCTAAATGTGTAAATTTCAGCTCAAACAAGACACCAAATCTGAGTGGCTATCCTCTGTAAGAAGGGCCTATTAAAAGAAGCTATCATTGAAAATCTATGTTAAACAATTCAGGAACCATCAGTCCTTAAATATTCCAAAAAGTACAAAATGTGATCATTTGAAGAAGAATAAGTACATAAGCTGCTTAGATGTATGGGAATCCCTTACTTGCTCAAGTTTCGGCATGTCATTCTTAAAAAAGAAATTTAAAAAAAGGTCGTTTTTTTTAATCTCTTTGTCATTCGTAACGCGTCTAGCGCGTTTAAGTGAAACTTCTGCAGGGCGGCTGTAACGCGCTTCAAGCGTTCTTCTACATTTTAAAACTTTTAAACATTTACAATGCTTTCTAAATGTTTACTTGTTTGAGTTTTTACTTTTGTTTGTTCTAATACCTCCTAGAGGGCAGTACTAATCAGGCATTCTATTTCTAATTGAATTCCACCCCCTCCCCCGGGTTTTATGAATATTCGTGCTATTTTACATAAGATACAAGGCAGTGAGAGGATCTTCAATGTCTACTCAGCAGAAAAGGAGAAAAAATGAGGTTGTGAATTGGAAAGACAAGAAGCATATACATTTGATGAGTACAGTCCATAATAACTCTACGATTGATGTTGAAACATGGAAAAGAATTGTAAAAAAACCAATAATTGTAAAATATTATAACAACAAAATGGGAGGAGTGGACCGTCTTATCAAATTAATCCTGCTGTTAGAAATAAGCAGAGATATTACTTTTCCATTATGCTATATTTCCTTATAATTTCACTTAATATTCATTTACATTCATCCACTACGAAAGTTATGTATGGAAAGTTATATATGTACAGAGAAAAAAAAAATTACACGCTGCGAAAAACAAAGGCCACTGGGGAGAAATTTTCGCGGACAGGAGAGGACGGCGAAAGGGTTGAACAGCTCGTAACTAGAGATGAAAAGTGGATATTACACAATCATGTTACTACAAGAAAAAAAATCACAGGACAAGCAAAATGAATCTCTTTTAATAGTATTAAAATAAGGAACTGCATCCTAAAAAAGTAATGCTTTATGTATAATGGGACTTGAAAGGAATTGTATACTATGAATAATTGCCGCCAAATCAGACAACAAATCTGGAAAAATACTATTACTAAACGGCAGTTTTAACCTTTTAACTGTCATGTCCGAAATAATCTCGGGCACAGCACTGGTATTCCAAAATGTCACGCTCGAATATCACTCGGGGTAAATTTTTTTTTAGTGCATCATATTGTTATACCCGAATATTGTTATATCCGAATCGTGAGAAGTTTATTTCAGTTTCAATTCAACAAATGGCAGCACTTTACTGAAGGTTTCAAAGGCTAGAGGTTAAAGTTCTAAGTGTGCGGCATTTTTTTTTTTTTTTTTTAAATTTTTTGATTGTGAGGCAAACATTTCATTTTGGGAATAAAAAAATTGACAATTTATGCACCCAAATCATCAAAATAACTTGACAGTTAAAGGGTTAATATCAAAGCAAAGCACTCAGAAATCACCAATGTCAAGATGTTGTCTTCCATCCTTTCTCCAATCCATTCCATGACGTATGTTGAGGTGTGTTCATCCCCAAATTTTGGTAAAAGTCAGGCAAAGACTTATAAGCATGGCTGGGATGTTTTGTATTACCCCCTCCCCAGTCCCCAGGCCTTGCCCCCTTGGTTTTTCATCTCTTCAGATCACTTCAAAATTATTTGAACAGCCAAGAGTTGGAGACTATCAAATAGCACCTTGATGACTTTTTATAAATAAAGATAATGACTTTTTTTTTTAAAAAAAAAAGGAATTTTCCAGCTGCTGGAGACATGGCAAAAGAATCACAGAACAAAATGGTGCTTATATGATTCAACAATACCTAAAATTTTTAATGACTATAAAAGTTAACAGTTATAAAAGTTAATACCAAACGATCAAATTCAAAGGCCACATAATGTACCATACTTTTAAGAGTAAAGGATACTGAACAAGCAAACTCGAGGGGGCAATGAGGTGAGGTACCTCAATAAGAAAGCAGTGATTCTAAAAAGGATTCAGAAACTATGTTTTAACTCTCAGGCTATGGGATTGCTCCCAAAACACTAAAGTTTGCAAAAAAAAATGTGTTTAAGTGATAATTTCATGATTATAATTCCAAAATGACCTTCCTTAATTTGTACTTTGATTCCTTCTCTTCCTACATATAATTTAAAATTAAAGAAAGATCAAATCATATTTAGTAACGAATAAAGTTTAAAACAAAATGAATGGGTAAAAAAGTGGAAAATGTAAATAATTGCTGTATAAAAAGGCGAACAAGACTTTCAAAATTTAATAATCCTGTAGCGAATTTAAATTATAAACTAACCTTCCCGCACGCAAGCCTGGCAATTTTACATGAGCATGCGCGTCGTATTTTTTACAACATCCATTATTTTACCGTTTTTGGTACGAACAATGACAGAAATGAGTGAATAATGATAATAAATTTGTTAAGAAATAAAATATTAATCTTATTATTGCAAAATACAAATGATATCACATTCAAAGGCATTCATCAAAGGCAAGTATAGACAATAAAAAGAAAACAGGTAGAATTTAAGAAGTAAATTTCCTTGCAGAAGTAAGTAATGCTAAGCTTACTTTATTCCTTGGTATGGAATAAAGTAAGCTTAGCATTACTTACTTCTGCAAGGAAATTTACTTCTTACTGGTTACAAAAATGCACTTTAAACTATAATATTTTTATTTATTTCTAAAAAATAGAAATAAAAGAAAATAAGGAATGGAAATCGCTATTGTTCTCACATTCAAAGGTTTCGTTGTCTTACTTTTTTTCATGAGATAATTCTTGAATAATGCGAGCAAAATCAGCTGGCTGCACATATTTTTTTGCCATGAAAACCAATATAAAATCTACAGAGCAAAATGTATTCAAATTAAAATAATAAACGGCCATTAATAACACAAAATTACAAAGTATTTGAGAAAAAAATATTTTCCGAATTTTCACAAACGACCACGGGCATGTCGTAACTTTTATGAAAAAGCTGCCATGTAGCACAAAAGCCTAGTTAAAAGGGGAAAAAATCAAATGACTTCCTATTTGCACATTCCATGATGTGGGGAAGGGTAAAAAGAAGGAATAGAAATGACCTTCAGACGTCTCAGCTTCGATATGCGAAAAATATGCATTAAAAACTGAATTTGTCGTAAATTTTGAGCATACGCGTGTGTTGGAAGGTTAACAACAAAATGAAAATGACAGCAGTTCTAAAAACACCACACAAACCAAAGCTATGCAAAAACCAAACCCAAATAAATAATAAGACAAATATTTTTGAACATATACATATGACTTGGCAGCTCGGAAAGTTAAAGCAAGTTCTAAAGCAACAATATTTTGGCAATCTCAAAACAGATATTATAGAAGGTGGGAAATATATTTTCATGCCTATAACTTAATCTAAATACATATTTAACTTCAAAATGAAGCATTCACAGAGAAGTACAATTGCACTTTGTTTCAAACTACCACCTAAAAACAAACAGCAAAGAAATTAGACTTACCACCACCAACCACAATGCAAGAAGCCCAAAACATTCCTGAAGTCTGAATATCAGTATTTGCAGCTACTGCAAACTGATACCATGTGCTTTTATCTGACAGATTGAGCTGATATTCAGTTTGCTGCACATGCACCCAATCTATGGCTCCTTCACCTCTTTCAGGACCTTCACACCAAAATAAGGTATAATATTTAATCTGATTGTTAGGTGCCTTCCAGGAAATGTTATAGTTCCCCTTATTGTATATGACAGTGATATCTCTCGGCCCATCAAGCACTGTAAAAATGGTACAAATTTAGTAGTATCAAGCATATTACAAGTATGTACTATGTATTATGCACATTCAATATATAAGATTGACATTCTTGCAATAATTGTATACAGAATAAATGAAAATAATTTGATTTTTGGACAGCACAAAATAGATAATTTTATTAATAGTATTTAAGCTTCATATTATTAAGAAAAGTACCTAATTATGACTAAATAAGAAAAAGTTATTAGATTTTTTATGCATATAATCAACAAGAAAATGGTGACAAAATGTTTGAAAATAGACAATATAAAATATGATATAATTTGAATAAAAGGGTTTTAATCATAACTTATCAAATAACACAAAATACCATCAAACACATTAATAACTTATACAAAAATGTATCAGAAAATAATACATGATGAAGAAGTTCGAGTAAGGAGGTATATGTGTATGTATGTACAGGGTGGTTTGGTTTATGTAATTACAGCAAAGCCTCAAAGGCTACCTGCCTTCATGGAGGACTTTCTATGGGAACTGGCTCGTATACACGTTACACATGAGGAAAACCACAAAAATGCCCATGCAGCCAGCCTGTTCATGGGATTCAAACCTCAGACTGAACTACCAGTGTTTGGTGACTTTACTGCTTCGATGCTGGTGGGCCTTATGCTGAATATTTATAAATGAATGATGCAGTTTTAAAAATTAATAATAAATTGACCTTACTCATATAAAACCTACACTATAAGCTCTGACAACTGTCTAAGTTTCTCATGTGCTACCTGCTGTTTGCTTGTCATAGCCACAGTGTCAAGATGGTGTTGCAACAGAAAAATGATCCATTTCGAGGTGTCCAGATCTGTGGTTTCAGAGCAGCATGAGTATCGTGCTTATTTTTCTGTGCGGTGTCCTACGAGAAAGTACACGGCCCACTTTTCTTCGAAAAAGAAACTGTGGTGAGGGAATCATTTCTAGGCTATGTTGGAAAGCTGGTTTTGTTACCCAAGCTGAGCACCAAATATGATGAATACATTTTGCAAATGGATGATGCTCTCTTCACCAACGCTGGACTGGACATGCTGCAACAGCACGCAACAACTTTCTTCCCTGGACATCCTGTTCGCTGTGCTTAACACAATGGGATTTCTTTCTCTGGAGATTTGTTAAAAAAACGAGTTTATGTACCACCAATGCCTGTGTACCTTGAGAAAGTTTGTTGTTGGGTAAAACATGCACTGGAGACTGTCATAACAAACATGTTACACCATGTATGGGAAGAAATTATTTATTATGTAGTTGTGAGTAATGTTACCAAGGTTGTACATAACTGAAGAACAGTGATTAATGCATCAAAACTTGGACAGTTGCAGCTGTCATTTATAAATACCATGTATATCTAAATTTATACATAATGAGGATACTGCATATTCTTAGATATGTCACTATTTCACAATTAAAAACTTAAAATTTTAAATATGTGACACTCTTTAATTAACATCTTCATATTCTTAGATATGTCAGTTCTCTTTTAAAATTAACCCACTATCATATAAATGTCTGTCTGTTGAATAATTGCATATATTTAGATGGTTTGAGGGGTTAGCAGAGAAATATCTTCATGGAAGATTTTCTCATAAGGCAAGACAGGAAAACTGGCTCATATTTACATGACATATGGGAAAAGCCCAAAGCAGCTAACCTGTTCAGCAAGAATCAAACCTAAGACAAACTTGTTCAAATAGATCCACTTGGCCACTTCTTCTGCAGAAATTATTTTAATATTGAGAAAGATAAAATGAGCCACATGGTGTAGTAATGTAAAAGGTTAATGATAAATTATAACCTTTAATAGTTCATAAATATATGCAATTATTCAATAGATTTGTTATTAATAATAACAAACTGATTTTACTCATTGCTTTATTACACAGATATAAAAATTAAAATTTAACAATAATTAATTTTCATAGTTTACCACATACAAAACACCAATTAGCATTTTTCAGTCTGGCATTAATTCTGCAAATAAATATTTCAGTATTAGTACAGTCAAACCTTGATTCACAAATTTAATTTATTTCTGAAGGCCATTCATCATCCCAAAAATACATAAAACAAAAAACAAAAAAGTTCCTAAACCAAAATTATTTTCTTCACAGGAATAAATGTAAAATTATTTAATTCATTCTTGGACCACAGATGATTACTTATTTAAATTTTACAAGAGTAATATCTGCACGACTTCAGATAAACACAACATTAAATAGGTAAAAATTTAATTTTACCATATGAAGGTCAGTAAATAGCATAAATGGAAAGTGGCAAGAAAGTGGAAGGGAAGAAATGTTAATGTTAGGATGAAAAGACCCTTTTCCATAAAATCATCAGGTAACTGCCCTCCTGGAACATCTTTTAAAAGTGAGATATAGTACAGTCATTGAAAATATATATGCCACAGCTTGCTACTCTTTATCATGGTGATATGTGAAAATTTTACAAGTCAGAGAACTGGGATCATCTCTTTCTCCTTCCTCTTCCTTTGAAGATATTATCTTCACAGTCGCCTTTTGATATTGGTTCTGAAGTTGTAGCAGTTCTTTCTCGGGAAGCTCATTACTGTGGTTCTCTTTAATAACTCCTCTGTGTGTTTTTTCTTTATAAACTTCCAAGACAAGCCTGAAAGAGCTATCATAGACAACAAAAAATGTCTCCTTAAAAATACGGGCCCCAAAGTTTCTACCTGGAATACAAACTTGTCATAACATACTCTAGAACAAATCTGTGATCCCGTAAGTCACTTACTGTCAAGTTAAACAAAGAAAAATATTAAAATGTTTTCAGGAAATCTGTCAGTGTTAATTTTGTACCATAGATTAAAATACAACTGAATATCATTCATAACCAATTTTTGAATGTTCATAACTCGAGACACTTCATATTGTTTTTTTTTTTTGTTGTTGTTGTTGTTGTTGTTGTTGTTCAGATGATTTTTTCATGAACTCAGTTGCTTGTGATTCAAGGTTCTACTGTATTTCAAAAATGAAATTCACTATTTAAAAACATTTTACTGATTTGTGAGCATAAAATAAGGACCACTACGTTTACTATATATAGCTTTTCACAAAGATGGGTGAGAAAAATACAGTAAAAAATTCAAAACTAAAAATTTACAACTTACGCTTATCTGCTTTATCCACGATTATCTGCGATGTGTTTACTGAAGTACCAATTTCATTTCTGGCAAATATATTAAACATATATGCTGAGTTCACATCCATACTTTCAAAACTATATGTTGTATTTTTCCCAATACCAAAAACTGCGCTTTCTCGAATAATTCGGGATGGAACATGATGAATATGATACTGAACCATATATTCTAAATTTGGACCATTTTCATAATTGAAGGGAATGGCCTATAATAAAAATAATTTTTATAATAAAGAAAAACCTAAAACAAGATAAGAAATAAATGTATACTAAGCACAAAAAAGTACTAAGAAAATACTTTACCTTCCAATACAAAGATATTGTTCTATTGCCTAAAATAACCTGAATGTCAAAACCTGAACTTGCAGTTTCTGGTGCCCAGTAAGGAACTGCAAAAGATCAACAATTTAACTAAATTGAAAGTAAACACTAATTCAAATGAAAACAAACAATACAACTTATTTCATAATGACAACATTTTGTGCTACACACACACACACACACACATACATACATACATAGGAAGTGCAAGACCCTGTTTATTTTGTTTTTCAGCTCCTTCCCGTAAAAATAGCTGATTAAATGGCCCTAAATACATAAAAAAATTGGTCTCTATAGTCCACAAGAAAAGGTTAATGCAGAGATATAATGCTGAATCATAAGATATTTTGTTTTATTTAGTGATATTTTAACATGAGGCTTGTAAAGTGAATGTAGATGAAGAAGACCGAGTGTCATATTTGATGGCTCTATTGCTGATGGACATTATTTCTATTATTCTAGGGCTGGAAGTAGAGCTTGATAATTACACATACGTAAATTTCTTTGCAACGTTTTAAATTCAGCTTAAAGGTTTTCCATGGCAAATCTGTTCAGCAGCAGCCATGTGTAAGTATCCCTTTATAAAGATTTTGCTTTTGAATTAAGCAGTTATCTAGATGAGTGGTTAAACAAGATGGAAGTTCGAGATTTTGATTTGTTGAAAGACTGAGGGATCAAATTAAACATCACATTAGTGGAAAATTTCGGGAACTCTTCACGGTTGTAAAGTCAAATGAGTGATTTTGTAACTGATAGTAGATAAAATGAAATAAGGCAAGTTTATTGTGGTTAATAATAGAATGTCTTAAAGTTTGTTTTTGACAATCTTTGCTTTCTAATGTACTCAGTTATTTGAAATCAGTTACTAGTAACAAAGGTCTGGTTTGGTTTATTTGATTATGGAAGCAGGCAAAGGCTACCTTCCTAAGGGCAGAGATGGTTTCATAGATAATTTCTTAAAGGATACTGGCTCGTATCTAAATTACACATGGGAAAAATCATAAAAACGCATACGTAGTCAACCCATTCACCTAAATCGATATCAGGTCCAACTATCTGTGTTCAGCTATTAGTGGGCACTACTGACTGAGGATATACTCATAGATTCACTTTCAAAGCTTTTAAAAATTTTTCCATTCATAACTCAAAAAGATATTTTTTGCTCCTGAAGAAGAGGGATGGATCTGTGTCTGACTGGTTTCAAAACTGATATGACTTTAATTAAAAATCTTTGGTAAATTATGGTTGCTTTTTTGCTTAATTTTAAGTTTAACATCAGGATATTTCTCTTCCATTTGAACAAAAAATATTATAAAATTTTCTTGTTAAGAGATATTAAATACCCCTTCCCTCTACGAAAAGTAAAAATAACCTGTTTTTAAGTTACCTACTTAATTTTTAATTTAAATGACATAAAAAGATAATACAGTATATTTAACAAAAATTAATGAAAAAAATTATATACTGCATGTAGGCTTTTTTGTTCATCTAAGAGTGAATACTTAACTGTAGCAAATAAATAAATATTTTTTTTTAAACAGCCTGAAAGAACATGGCGTCAAAATCCATGTTAGTAATTTGTTTCTTGAAATTTGTAACATGTTTTCATTGATACTTTCTCAAAAAGCAATATTTTTCTTATCATTTCAAACATAACAGCAGTTAGCTACTTTTAATTACCCTTTGCTGCATATCACAATACTGACATTCTTCATGAAAAGTGTAATATTTTCCATCATCAGGTGGATTACAAAATTATCACTTTTATTATACATTTAGGGGGTCTACAGAGGGAAAAAAAGATTTCATAAACTATATATATAATACAGGACGAAAATAAAAAATTTGGAATTGAAAGCATACATAAATTAATTCATACCATCAGGATGTGTTCCCATAGAAGCTGTTAAAAGAGGGCTCCACATCAAATCACTGTCTGATACATTTGATCTACAACGGATTTTGAATTCATATTCGGTATAAGGGATTAAATCTGTTATTTCTAGGGAGCCTTGACTTTGAAAGTAAACTCTTATTTCCTGAAATAAAATGACATCATTTATCTTCAAGAAGTGTATAATAGCAGAGCTGTGATAAAAAATTAAAAAGATAAAATGATAACACATAAAACAATAAACTCATTTTTAAAAAAGCACAAACAATTATTCTGCACTTATATAAATAATATTACAAACGCCTTTCATTAATTACATTAACAGTACACATATTTGCCAATATTGTCGACTTAAAAAAAAAAAAGATGTTTATGCCGTGTGGCTTTTAATTTTTAGGACTGCTCTAATAACACCAGAAAAGATGATGTGAAAAACTTAACCTTTTAATATGTTTCGAAGTAATCCCCATCTGCCGTAATACACTTCTGTGCTCAGCTGTATAAGTTGTGAAAACAACTTTTAAAGTCCTTTTTCCGGAAGGCTCTTCAATGTCGACGTCACGTTCTTCTTGATGTCTTCAACATCCGCAAAGTGTGTTGCTTTGATCATAGTTTTGAGTTTGGTAAACAAAAAGAGGTCTGCGGGGACCAAGTCAGGAGGGTACAATCGAACATTCCCAAACTCAAAACTGTGATCAAAGGATGTCTTTGTGGATGTTGAAGACATCAAAAAGAATGTGACATCGACACGAGGCCTTGAAAGAAAGACTTTAAAAGTTGTTTCACAACTTATACAGCGAGCACAGAAGTGTATTACGGCAGATGGGGATTACTTTGAAGCATATTAAAAGGTTACATTTTTCACATCATCTGTTCTGGTGTAATTAGAGCAGTCCTGGAAATTAATAGCCACACCTTGTATGTAGATGCATGTAAAAAAAATGGAAAGCAAACTTACTTAACCGATTAGTCCCCAAACTATTTTTTCTGGAACAAATCGGATAAAAATCATGATTCTGAGAAGTTTTGCCTTCAATATGAATATCATAATCGAAACTTATCTAAACTGCCAACAATTAAAAAAGTGGGGGACATACTAAAAATAGATGCTAAGTATTGACATATGTTTTTAGCATGTACCAGACAAATTAGTAGTACTCCAAAAGAAATTTTTAAAAGGAAAAAATAAATAAAAGCAAAAATACAACAAAATATCTGAAAATTCAAGACTGCTGAACATATACAAAAAGCAGCTCCTAGTATAAGCCAAGTAAATGGGAAAAAAAAAAAAAAAAAAATATTCCAGTCTAAAATTATCAAAATAGTCATTTTATTTGTTATCAAAAGCCTACATTTAAAATAAGTACTTTTTAATGCATTTGAAAGATAAAAAATACGTTATTTCGATATACATTATACAAATAAATTAATCGACTATAAAATCCCATCAAAAGTTGGTGAAGATATGCCAGTATAGTTGGTGCAATGGCAGAAGTTTGAAGAAACAGACTGTCCTTTATTTAATCAGAAATCAAGAGATACAAATTACGGATATAGCATATAAAAATCTAAGATTGCTTATTCATAATTTTTCACACAGCATTGCCATTTTTATCCATTTTCAAATTAAATCACATACCATGCCTATTAAAGAAACTTTTCTGTATGCCAGAATTGCAGAAAAGTTAGGCAAATAGCAGTTAATTCCTTTTTAAAAAATTAAACCAGCTTACGGAATTTACCATTTTACATAAAAGTGAGGTAAAAACCTTACGCTTGTTTGTATAATCAGACTTATCCATTATTTACACTAAATCACACTATCTGCTGACAGTTTTTGTTTGTTGAAAAATGGTTCGACAGGTAAAAGTTATGAGGAGTGTCCAATTCCAAGAACGAATTCCTGGCCTACAACCACAGACAAAATGGAAGAAAACTATACAACTGTACTTGCATTTTAAATGTTACAAGCACAATTTCGAAAAGTAATCCTATACATACTTTAAAATGCCTTTACAAATCTTTCATTTGCATAATTTTTCACTTAAAAAATTCTAAAATTTTTAAATATTCCATTTACTTGAGCTTTCTGGTTAGGTGAATGCCGGATAACTGGGCTTTGACTGTTTCCATTAACAACCCCATGATAAGCCTACATTTCACTCTAAAATTCCATTATATATTTCTCAAAATTCTGGTTCATAAATATTATATAACCAGCAATATCAAAAGTCATGCACAGAAGTGGTTTTTCCCTTTTGGATATGAAAGTAGGCAGACAGCATTGTGACTACTCTATACAGCAGATAATATTTTGCAACATTAATAATCCTCCCAGCAGAAATATGAAAAGTGTGGCACACAAAAAGTTTCATTTTTTGGTATCATTCACATCTGGAAGAACGACCTCTAGCCCTTTCTTCTCATAGGCTAAATGGTAAATTCTAACTAAAATCATAAGCCTGGACTTCAGCAACATCTCAAAATAGTTCTTTTTTTAATTTGACTGAAAAAAGCATTTTAACTGCTAGATGCCTAGCTATATATCACTTTGGTATTTGTGTATTAGCCAGCACCCAGCACCAATATACTACTCTGTAATTCCCAATTCTGTGAGCATTTGACAACTTTAGAACTTTTCCTGGATTCCTCCAGAAGAAATAAATGGAACTTTATATCTTTTTTCTTCTTGTTTGTGCTCTCTTTTTTCCCTATTCCCCCTAGGAGTGGTTTAATTTTTTATTTCAGCTTTTACAACAGACCAATCAGAGCAAAGGTATCATCTTTTTGGTAACACTTTCTCCTACAGAAAATTTTCAGGATCATTCATCTCACACTAATTTTTAATGGTAGAGTCAAGCATGTGATATTGTTGGAAAAACTCACAAGAGTTCACATCCTTAAAGTAAAAATCTATGTGATGGAAGATACAAGACAGTAATATAATGTCAATAATAGCTGTTAGAAAAAGAAGCACTACTCAGTTAATGAAACACGAATTGTGATTCAGCACCAAAGTACCAAAATCAGATTAACTATTTTATTTAAATTCACAAGCAGTCATATCATGATGCCATTTTGAAAAAGCAGCAAAGAATAAACACAAATCCTACAACTTTCCCGTCAGTATTTTCAATCTCAACCCACTGGAATTCTCGATTTCTTTTACTTGTTTACCTTTAAAAACAAAAGAATCAATATGAATTACATGATTTGCTAAACAACAAAGAGTCATTATCAAACTCTTCCTGAGCAAAGACCACACTGAAAACTATCTTTAGAAAATAACAGAATGAAAGGTTTACTCAGCATATGCTTGCAATCTATTTCTAAAAATTATTCGGTTTGTTTACATCTGATGTCGACTGAAATATTTACATACATTCTTATTTCCAAATCTTTGTAAGTGAATAATTCAACAGGAATTATTGGCAAACGCAGCCATACATTATGTACTGGTGCAAATCTAAGTAGCCTTCAAATAAAATCGATGTTTCATGACACCTGTCATTTTCTTTGACACATCTTTCAAGTTAACCTATCTCTACATATAATAAAAAAAAAAAAAAAAGTGTTTGTCTGTGTGTGTGTGTGTGTCTTTCATTCCTGCTAATAGACCTAGGGCTACGAAATTTGGTACATAGGTTCATCTACACGAGAACCGGTGCACCTCGAAGGAATTTTTTTTTAATTTGAATCGGATTTTTTTAAATCTTTTTTGATGAAATTACTTGAATAGTTTCATCCTCTTCAAAATGTGGTTTTGGTAACTGTTTTTTATTCGTTGCTTAGGCTACTGGACTGCTGACTGTTTTCTCTTGAAAATATGAGATTTATTGCTTATTTCATTGTAATTTTTATATTATGTTTTAATTATAGATAATTTTAATTATATAAAATTTTTGCATCATTTGGGGGGGACCTTAACTTCCTTTATACAATTTGAAATTTTAAAATTTTGCAACAGAAAGTTGGTTAATTTATTTATTAGGATAATTAATATTTGTATTAAGGGATATCGCTTATTTCATTGTTTATTAAATATGTAATACCTTTTTTATTTATTTTGGGGGGATAAAGCTGTTCTGCAGAGTAAAATTCTGTGCAGTTTTTAAATTTAATGTTTGGTGATTGTTTCCCATTCAGGCATTTTTCCAGTACATTTAAAAGACAGAGGAAGGCTGGCCACATGACGGCTAGTTTATTATAAATTATTATTATTTTTCTAATTTTATCCACTGATTAAAATTAATTGTTTTATTTCAGCTGAATGTGAAGCCACTGTAAAAACAAGATGGAAAAAAGAGCTTGCTTGAAAAAGCAAGCATTGATTTGCAATTGTCCAGTTCTCTTGATGCATCAAAATAAGAAGCTGCGGAAAAGTGCAATTACATTAGCTCCAAAACAATTTAAGCACAACAGAAAGATCATATCAAGAATTTGGAAACATGCTTCCAAAACTAATTGCCAAAGTAAATTGATTCCCTCAAAAAATAATAATAAAATAAAAATAAAATCTGAAAACAGGGTTCGTACACATTTCTGCACATGGAAATTAAGTACTTTTGGACCATTAATGAAAAAAATTAAGGACCTATGAGCAAATGGGAACTGAATAAATTCAATTGAAAATATTATCTATGCCTGAATTTCATTTTTGTAATACCATCCTAAAAGTAAAATAGATCCCTCAGTAGTATGCATTATTACTAAACATAAATTAATTGACATAATTGTTAATAAGTTTTGAGAATAAAATAAACTTTATGCAATTTATTAAGTAACATTAAATATTTTACACGTATAATAGTCGGTCATATTTGAAAGAAGGTAAATGACATTTACATTTTCTTAACAGTTAGCTTTATGTCATTTTGTCACATACTTGGTCAATCTAGAGGTTTAGTAAATAGTAGGTAGATTTTATGTCAAACAGCTTACGTTAAAATGAGAAATAAGATCATAATCAGCATGATTTCATAACAAAAGACTGAATGTTGTCACAGATGCTGCTTGTCTAGAGAGATCTGCTGATTAGAACAAATCTGAAAGGCCTGATGTAGGTACGGTTGGCAAGTGTTGAAAGTTAAGGCCCGTCTACATGAAGCGATTTTCTCAGCCGACTTTATCGGAGAGACACAATTT